TATGTTCTGACTCGTGACCTTGGTGCAGGTATGAGTTGATTTTGTAACTCAGCGACTAGAAGAGCAACGAACTGGAGATTTTGCGGATTAACTTGTCAAGCATTTTTCAACTTACAGTAAAGACACAGATTTAAGCTGTACTGTACTGCAAGCTACAAATCGCAGCGTCATATTCCATCTGATTTTGTAATTTGGGACTAGGAAAAGAGAAAAACTCCTTTAAGGCCTCCGTTAACTACAGAAAGCAGGCTTAGTGGCTTAAATTCGACTTTCTATGGCAAGTGAACGCATGGCCGAATATTTGTGCTCCAAAGTAAGGCAGTTCATTAATTCCACATTTTTTAATGTTTTTCACTTGCTGTTTTGACTATAAAACCATCACGACAGCCTGTGCTGATTCATTTATCAACTTGCACAGTGCCAAGTACTGCATCTTGATCAGTAATTATTCCAGGACACTTATTATGATATAGTTGATGCACTGGAATCGCAAGGCTTAGAAGATGGTATGAGGCAAATGCTGAAACTCGGTCACAAAGAACTTAACGATCAATGCAAACTTTACGAAAAGGTGCTGAAGCAGGAAGATGAAGCAGAAAGCAGCGATGATAGTATCGTTAATATGAGGTACGGGTTCCCGACAATTTTTTGTAGAGGCACTTCAAGACTATTTTAAAGTCAGTGGTGAAATTCTCATAACGGCAACTTCTTGAGCCCACCTTCTTTTGGCCTGCTAAATTTTATGAACGCATCAAGTAAATGGAAAATTTTAAAAATGTGGAAGCGAGAGTCAGTTTTGATTTCGTGGTCCACATAAATTATATTCTCGAAGTCTCATTATGTCGATATAAGACCCAGAGATTAGAAAATTTGCATGAGTTTGAATGAGAACAAAAATAACTTGCTAAATTTATTTATTTTCACGAGTGTTTTTAGTCCCTAAGCCTTGCCTTAACAGTAACTTCCTGAATAAAAACGTCATTCCAGGGCTCAGCCTGCGCTACCGGTTACAGATCGAAGGGCAATGATGCGTCGTCGACATAATGAATCATTGGCCCGACAAAAAGAGCATCATAATTTCCACAAGATTAACTCATTAAATAATAATATCTGCGAGAAATTTGAAGCGTAAGTTACGTTACGATGAAATTCAACATGTGTTCCCTCATTTTTAAAGGATATCGCTTAGTGCGATGAACTTTTGCACATTTTTTTTTATGCTGTTTTAATTCAGAAATCATTTTTTCACATTTCACTTTCTGCTCTTCTTCGCATCAGCTCGATGGGAACTTGTTGCTGATATATACTGGGGAATTAAAATTTTCAACAATTCACTTTTAAAAGCAATTCCCAAAGCTCTACTCGGCTTTGTCCGGTTGAAAGGCGATTATGATGATTGTGGTGTGACCTCGCAGACGATGAGGTAGGGTAAACGTGGGTGGGACGGGTAAGGCAAGAGGGTAACAGTTCAATAAGGGGGTCGCAGCAAAGGCGAGATTAGCTGAAAAAGAACAGAGACCTTGTTTGGATGTGGAAATGTAGGAAATAGTGCTCTTTAGCCTTTAATTCTTAAATTTACAGGCCTTCAACAAGCAATATAACGAACGGACGGGTTGATGATGCACCAAAAATAGTCCCTGTTTGGAGGAACAAAACTTCTGAAAGCAAACCAGTAACGCTGTGGAAGTCTGAAACCAATAATAATACAGTCAGTTTTTATGCGTTTTAGCTGTACAACAGCTGCACAAACGCATATTGTCTGTGTGTCCGCAACTTTCAATTCGGGAATCACAAAAGTTGGGAAGCTGAAAATTTAGGGTTATTTTCTCCGCTCGTGTGTGACCCCGCAAATTTAAATCTAGCCTTTCCTTGCCTGCGAGTAACATTGTGGCCCCTTAAAAATTTTTAGCAGGTAGAATTATTACGGGAATCATGGAAGCTGGAAGGCCGAAATTTTGTGGGCATGTCTCCTGCCCATGTGCGACTCCGAAAATTTAAATTTAGCCTTCCCGTTCCTGCGGGTAAGACTTGCGACTCCGTAAAAACTTTTGGCGGGTTGAATTAACGAGAATGGCAAAAGCTA